ATACACAATCTGTTGTAGGTTGTAACGCGTGGACAGAGTGTTTCCAAAGAGGCCAATTGCCAGGGCACCAAATCAAATGAACGCCACGTGACTTTGCGGCATCGTCGCAATGCGCGCATTTTCTTCCTTGTTTGCTCATGCATGATGGCATGCGAGCCCGAAAAGCATGGGCTTCAAGATCAATAACATAGTGACATATTTTTGGCATTTTCAGTTACAGAATACACATCTCTAAGGCTATGCCTTTTCTTGCTTTCCGCTTGCTGCTACAAAGCCACTAGTGGCATCGCCACCAAGAAGATATCAATGGCGGGTTACATGGTTTACATGGTCGTTTGCTATTAGGGGACAGCATTGTTACTTTCAACTTGTGCACTTTAGTTGTTCTCGCTTAGTTACTGCTGAATCGTCCATCGGGAGTCGAACTAAACATTGCCTCGCTCGTAGCGATAAAAATGATGGCTGGTGCTCGGAACAACGTCATACAAGGCACTGTCGTGTAGTTTCCTCATAGGCCTAGGTGACAGGTGACGACATAGTGTGCGTCATCTTAGGTGACAAAGATGTACACTGCTTCAGTGAACTTCACTTCTGATTAGCATTTCTAGGCGCCACCTCGGACAGGAGTACAGAAAGTGACTTCATCAGTGCAGATGACGACGTCGCTGTGTCTGACTGCATCGATGCTAATATGGCTGATGTTGCCGGCGCCGTGGAAGTGGTCCCGTGCAGCGACGCTAATTCCACCGCTAAACGACATTTTACCGCGCTACAGGGTTTGCACTGGCGCTCACCACCAATCACGACTGTTGTGGCTGATGGGACTGAATTGACTTATTTTGAAAGCTTCAATACTTCATTAGAATGACTTGATGGACATGATAGCATGCGAAAGGAATGACTAGTCTACAGACAACTGCAACAGACTAATTTCACACAAAATAAAAGTGCGATAACTTGTAAAGCAAGTTTTCACCTTTTCTTAAGCATACTGTGAGTGAATTGTCATGCTAACACTTATTACGATTTCCAAAACCCGTTTCGAGAGTTGCAATGCATTAATTTAGGCATAAAATATGCACATTTCTTATATTAAATTATTGATACTTAGAACTATATCACGATCCCCTTCGAGTTCAATAAATTCCGAATCGACTGTACGCATTATATCAATGGCGCAATATTGCACTAACAAATAACATCTCTGAGCGCCGCCGATCGTTTACAGTGAACGGAGTCGGTGCTCCAGTGACTTCCCGGGACACCACTTTCGACCACCGATAAGCACTGGCGAGGTGCCCGTAGATTATTATTATGTTAAACGCCGACCCTACCTCTGCAGCCCTCCCATTTTCGCACTCCCTGACTGTGTTTTGTTATGCCCCCCTCTGTCCTTTGTCTCACCGCTACTGTGAGCACCCCGCATCGCCAGACTAGACCCGTGTTTTCACACAATTGCCAACGATCTTTTGAAGACCGGTTCGCTGATTAGTTTCCCCTCAGTTGTTGATCGCTGGTGTCATTGTCATCACTATCATTGTTGTCGTCGGCCTAGAGTGATCAGACAGTCTGCCAACATCATCAGCTCTCGACTGTACCTGGTCGTCTGCATCTGTGTCTTGTCAAGATCGGTGTCATATAGCTCTAGTGCGTGCGCTTGTACAGCTCCACCAACTTTGTTGATTCGCGATTGGTTCCATGTTTAGGACCTGTTCTCACTCGCTTTGCACTCCACTTAGCATGCTCTCTGCACACGTGCAGAAGCGCAAAAACGGATGTTACACGGAACGAACTGCGAAGACCATGGCCGCACCTTTCTATCGTAGGTCATAGTCATAGCCCACATCCTGCAGACATGTGAAATTAGGCACAAGCTAAGTCGTACCAAGAGAGAAAAGTTGGGGGGCTAAGCCCCCCCACTTTCGACAGTGTAAGTGGTCACTGTCGGTGGCACGATGGGGTAACCAAACACTAAGGCAAAGTTTCCTTCACCACAGTAATCACTCAATTATGTTGTTACGGGGAAATGAAAATGTTACCAGGGAATGTCAATATAGTCAAAATTTTGCAGCAGTTCTGCTGTCACGATTTTCCTTGAAGGCTCTTTGCTGTGCGGCCTCTCGCCCGACGCTGTCACGCCTTGTACTGTAGCATTGCAAAACAGGCTACAGCGCGAAAGCGTCGTTTACTGTAGCCTGCTTTGTTATGGATGGGAACGAGCAATTGTATGGACCAGTCAGAGCATTTTTTGCTTCAGTTAAATCACTTTCATCGAAAATGAATAGCATCATTGCTGCTCGGTCGAGGCTGCTGTGAGAGGATTGTGACAAATCTTTTTAAATGCTTTAGTTTTGCCGTACTGGAAGCGCAAAAAAAGTTTCCACTTTAGTCTCTGATATATCTGATCAGCCTTGCTAATAATAACTAAGAGCGATGGCAGCAGTTTGTAAAGTGGCGAAGAATAAAGCAGTGGACTTGAGCACAGTGGGAAGCTAAGCTTTTAAACTTGCCCGGCAGCTTGACCCACTGGACCAGGGAGAAGCTTAAAGACCGTGGTTTTTAGCACTATGAAGGCTTAATTATAAATCGAGCTAGTGTGTGTGTGTGTGTGTGTGTGTGTGTGTGTGTGTGTGTGTGTGTGTGTGTGTGTGTGTGTGTGTGTGTGTGTGCGCGTGCGTGTGTGTGTGTGTGTGTATCAGCTGACGAGTAAGGTAGGTATGCCCCCCCCCACTGGCGAAAGAGTTGGTACGCCACTGACTGGAACCTTGCTTTATCGCATGTGACATTTGAATATAATTCTTCATGCCACGACATTGCCGGTTACTCTCCATTTTTTCTGTTGTTCAGCCGAGAATCAACATTACCTCTAGATACAGTCATCCTGTTTCCTGCAGTATCAACTAGTGAATATGCCCTTGATGCTATTACTCGGGCTGCCCATGCATGCGAAACCACCCATACACACCTGACCTCTAAAGAGACCCAATGCTGTTTGTACGATCAAGGACACCGAGACATGCAGTTTTCACACGGCTCTTTGGATTTCCAACCCATGAAGTCAGCTTGTCGGAAAACTTCTCTTGATTCATAGGTCCATATCAAGTCCTTCGTGCGGTTGCTATGACATATGAAGTTCCCCCTGCCGCCTAGTCACTATATGCTCGAGAGGTCACTGATGTAGTACATTTGGCACGCTTGAAGTCCTACCACTCTCCCAATGACCTTGACATCCAGATGTGCCGAGACGTCACTTCTGCTGCTGGGGATAACACTACATGCATATTGACATTCCCAGAGACTATGCACGTGTGTGCCAGACGAACAAAGGGCTGTCTTTGCTTGGTCGCTGATTAACTTGTCACACCCCAACTGATGGTTTAAAATAGATCTCATCTGCAGCCTCGTCGATCCGGCGCCTCTTCTCTTACATAACGATATGGCACAGTTGTGCGAGGCTTACAGAAATGGATATATGGACACACGAATGCCAGTTAATTCATAAAATTCTGGAAGATGAGGTTAACTTATTGCTCTTCATTTTCCACCAGTGATATACCCGTCGGTGACCTCATAGGCCCACAGTACAGTTAATACCGTATTTACTCGATTCTACCGCGCCCTCGATTGTAACGCGCACCCGATTTCCACCGCGAAAAAAAAAAGAAAAAAAGTAAGACATCGATTGCAACGCGCACCCATTTTTCTCACTGGCCCGCACGATCACACCACTCGAAAAAAAAAACAAAAAAAAAAAAACGACTCCTTTCGAGAGCGTCTTCCATTTAAATATGAGGTACGGGCAAAGCTTGTGCCCATCTGACGTGTAACAGAGTATTGTCGTCACTGTAGTTATACCGTGGACCGATGTCAGCACGCGAACTTGCTTCACCTCCTTCTTATCGACGGTTGTGGTGCCAGGCATGTCGAAGTAAAGAGGCGTCTGATCGGCATTCCCGATTTGCCCCAAGCAGGAAGCCGTTGTTGCGTCGCAAGTTTAGGACGAACCTCTGAAAACTGTGAAGCTTTTCATCGTACTCCTCCGCAAAAGTTTTCGCATATGCATGTTCCCCCTCGGAGGGAAAAGCCTTTCCTCTTCATAAAGTTAGTTAGCCAGCACCTGCTCGCTTTAAACTGGCTCCGCATCAGACCTTTTTCTAAGACTAATTGCATAGCCCGCACTTGGAGCAGTTCTGTCGTCACGGGCCGCTGTGCCGCTTGCTGCTCAAGCAAATACTCGCCGAGCAGCTCTGTAATTTGCGGAAACCGACCCTGCTGTGGTCCACTGAAGCCTTTGCGTGAAGCTTTGCTGTCGACAATCTTCTGCTTTTGTTTCCGCCAGTCCCGCACGCACGTTTCGAAAACTCCTAACGACCACAATGCGGCCCGATTTCCGTCCGTTTCTGCACACGCGATAACTTTTTTTTTAAAAGCGGCATCGTGGTGCACTCGAGTTTTTGGAGTCGGCCCTTCCACGCCGTCGATGCTAATGCACTACTAGATGACGAACTCCTCAGCACACGTACGAAGTGCCGCACATGGGAAACACATAGGCAGATATGGCCGACGTGCCATGCCGACGCACGTAGGGGGCGGCCATTTTGAATTTGTCGATGGCAATAGATTGACCGTAATTTTTTTGTTCGTACTCGATTCTAACGCGCATGTGATTTATGAGCTCGCTTAACCGGAAAAAAGGTGCGCATTAGATTCGAGTATTTACGGTAGTTGTATATAACTATTAAAATAACGAACAAGCCCCCCCCCCCCCCCCTTATGGTGAGGAATAATTCAACAAGATTTGCAGGGAGCGGGCCTTGCACAGTCATGGATTAAAAATCAAGATGGCAATGGAAAAACCTTAAGAATGAAGAATGCACACTGTACTTTAAATTACATCTCCCGAAGAAGAAAGCAGGGCGCTTGCTCTGAATTTTACGGTATAATTAGAGTGCTTTTGTTATTGTATCGAAGCAACAACTGGCAACATCATAGGACCGTACCTGGATTTCTCTGAACAGAGGGAGGCTTTTGCACCACTTGACAATCTTGTAGAGACGATGGTCTGCAATGTTGCAAAGGCTGCTCAACAAACTTGGGCCTCCATCTGCACCCAGGCTCCCAGGGGAATCAGGGGCTCCTGCATCCAGTGTTGTGGCTCCAGTAGCAGACACCTTGTTGCCAAACTGCTCCGACAACCTGGCAGATATGAAATTAAAAGTAGCTTGCGGTGAAACATGCACTGACTGGTAGCAATGAGAAATCAAAACACAAGTAGCATGAAGTTATTCAAAAGCACTTCACCAGGCACTAATGTATTTATTTCAAGGTACCTTACAGGCCCCAGAGGGGGGGGGGGGGGCATTGAGTAAGGGGGAAAATACACAAGACATATGTACATATACATTTCAAATTGGGAAAAATACATAGGAAAAGAAACAATTGCAAAATAATTTTGGTTATACATATGAACTGATAATATGCCAAAAATAGAACTTTTACTGTAATCATTTTTCAAGACCATTCTCTATTGCAAATAAAAGGAACCAAAATTAAGAGTTTTTGCATGGTCAGGAGGCAAGTTTCAGAGCCAACATAGGCTTCTTCTGCCTGAAGTAGCATCTACGAATGACCTTTTTTTCCTGCCATCACTATATCAAGCCAAGCAACCGCTTGTGTATTACGCCACGAGAGTCATGAGTAAAGAGATGGTGTATCGAGGAAGAAAACTAAATAGGAGGAGAAGCATGAAGAAGAGGCACAAGCATATGTATGGAGTAGCACACGGCTCGATGCACCTGACATAAGCCGTAATAGAAGACGACAGTGCGATGAGCCGACATTGCTTGCGTGGCTACGGCAACCAAATGCCCACTGTGCCTGAGCACAGTGGGCGTTTCATTTTGAAGGCCGTGACGCTGGCACTCCGTGACGTAGCCATTGACCTCGATGACCCTTGGGTGAGGCTCCTCGGAGGAGCTGCAGCATTCACTAGCAGCAGTCCCCCTTTGAACGTCTGCCAGCAGCAATTCCTGGAACGCAATGTCGAGCAGAGGAGTCGTGCTTGCACTAGGCTTAACTTACGAAGATGCCGTGCCATGTGTTCAATGGAGATAGGGAACAGACCTACGGCAGCGTAGAGACAACTGCAAGAGGATCGTTTATTACATCGACCGTGGACCCAACATAACGAAGGTTGGAATTACAGCGATGGACAGAACAAAGTCAGCGCGTTCCATTCGAACTACGACCTGACAACAAGGTCAAGGTGGCCACACTGAGTTTATTGATTGTAGCTAGCCGTAGCCAAAAATGGATTATTGTAGTGCCAGTTATAACTATGTTAGCACAGTAATACCTAGTTAACTTTGAAGTCGTAAAACCCAGAGAAAATGTGAAGATAATTGGATTTTTCGAGATAAGCAAAGTTGCACTAATCACCGGGAAAAATGAGCATCTCTCAGAAAAACCACTACTACTTAGCAGCTGGCAGTTGCTAATCTTACTTCTCCTACAGATTTAAAAGAGAAAAAAGTAACATACAAGAGACTTTCAACTGGCTGGGTTTTGCTGCACTGCCATTTTATTTAGCAGAGAAAAACTGCCTAATGCTCGTCTGCTTTGCGGTCATACTCGAGCCTGAAAGAGGTCATTCAGCTGCTTGACGCATAAAATCAGTCGATCTTCGCCGCTGCTGCACTCAACTCCTGCTCACACAGTGCATACTCCAGAAAAGTCCAGTCATTTTCAGCGGCACCGTTACCTGTAAGCTTGATGACCTCTTGACAAAGTTCCTCACAGTCTGCGAAGTCATCTGTCTCTGCCATCTCTGCTTCTGGCAAACTGGCAGCACATGAAAACTCTGCGTGCGCAAAGGAGTTGGCAATAGCCACTGTGCGAACTTCCTGCCGCTCTGGCATTTCGGGGCGATACCATGAATGCTGGTTCAACTTCTGGGAATTTCGACCCTCGAACCTGCTTCTGCTGGCTGGAGAAGCTCTGCTGAAATCCATCCAGCACTTTCTGCTTGTTTTTCAGCACCGTTGAAAAATATAGACAAAGGAATGCCGAATTCATACATGATGCCCAATTTTGTTGGTCCTACTTTCACCACTTTCTTAATTAGGGCAACCTTTCTTTTTAGCGTTAGTGACTTGCACTGCTTTGACACCATGCTTACTGCACTCACACTAAGTTGCCGCTCCTCACAGTCAACAAAAAATTCGTACCACTCGGTTTGCGCAGATGAACGTAAATCCCACCCCAGAAAAAATATCACGAGCACTGCACTGACAGTCAGCGAAAAATACATACCCTCTGGTTTGTGCATGTGAATGGAAATCGCACCTCGGGAAAAATCATGTGCACTGCGCAAAGCGAACGAAACAAACTACGCCAAGAATGGGCAGAGGGCCTCCTTGCTTGACGCATGTGCCATGTGACGTGCCACAGAGTTGCTTGACAAAGTTGATATGTTACTGGGCTGAGACTTCGCCCACTTCACGTTTGAGGATAGCACCGACATAGTGGCAGGCGTGGCTAAATAAGAAAAAAAAAATTATAAACTTCTGGCGTGTCAGCATTGCACGAATCTTGTGAAATGGTCCAGCAACAGAATCTTTGTTCGACTCCCAGTCAAGACTACGAGTTATCTGCAATCTGACCCAAAAATATATGAGACAAAGGGAAAAATATAAATCGGATGTATGGGAAAACATACAGTGCTGCTTACAATTCTGACCTGGCTGAATTCCCATTTTCCAGACGCCCGAAATTCCGGACATGCCTGATTTTCTGAACTTATCTGTGGCATTGTCAAGTTCCACATGGAGTCAATGTATAAAAAAGTTCGAAATTTCAGACGTTTATAGCTTTTGCCATCTGATTCCAGACTTTTCACCGCTAACTGCTGACTCGAAGTCACCATCGACACATCGAAGTTGCCATTTCGGTTGTTTTCAAACCCTCGAACCCACCGTACTCGCATCGCAGGTGTGGCTAGCGCCGCGGCAGCCGTATCCTTGAAACCGCAAATGCCGCAATCTAGCACACGCTAATCCGTTGCCAGCCGTAGCTTAGTCTAACCTGTGGCCACAGCCACATGGTGCTGTTCTGAGGCAGAGAAAAAAAGCTGTGCTGTTCACCTAATGTCTGCTATCGGCATTTTGCTGACTCGTGGAAGGCAGTTACGCAACAGACCCTCCGGAACTGTTTTTGTCACACGAGCTTCTTACTGGACGCTGAGACGGCTGTTTCACCCGGAATGGACAGCGTGTGCGGCGAACTTCTAACCACAAACATTGCCTTCAACCATCTGCACGCTGCCAGTGTTTCGATTCCAGTCGAGACGACCTTTCAGGGCTTCGCCGACGCTGACAAAAACCTCGAGCTGTGTGTGAATGATGAAATAATTCGTCAAGTTACGGAGGATTCCGACAACTCCAATACCGAGATAAAAGAGAGAGCGCCTGCACAGCCAACGAACTTGGAGTTGATGTGAGCTGAAATTGAGGCAGACATCACCATGGGCAAGTAGAACACTATGAAAACGAAAATAAGCAACTTTTTTTTTGCACCAAAGTGTTTACCAACACAGTAGCACCAGCCACATTAGATTTCTTTACAGCGAAAGTTGTTATAAGATCACAACTCGGGTCTCGCGCAGCGCTGTAGTTGTCCGCCACTAGTGCCCGTAACCACATGGCGCGAAATTAGCAAAAAAAACCTAGAACCAATGACACAGTGGGGCTCGAACCCTGGTTCGCTGGGTGGCAGCCCAGTATTCTACCGCTGAGTTGCGTTGGTGCTTGGGACTTGTTGGCAAACTTTCCCTAGACAGGCTTGATGTTGGGAAAGGAATCAAGTTATTATGATACAAAGCATTTCAGTACAACAAACGAACAACCGGGCGTCACACAATGCGAATAGTGTAACAAGTGGGTCATACAATGCTCCAACCCACTACAAAAGCTTGTTCTCGATCACCCATTAACTGTGCCGCATACCCACTTCAGGCATAATTCCTCATTGTCGTCAGCCACAACATGAACGATTGGCACATAATTCCAGTTATAGTTTAGTGGATACCATATTATCAGAATGACAAAAGATAGCGTAGCGGATCCCGGCCTACTACCCTAAAATTTTTATTATTAATGCCGTAGTGGGTACCCAGCGAGTGCACTTGCAGGAGTTACCCAATAAGTGTTTAGAAAAAGCTTTGAAAGGCAGCTCTTCTAGCTTTCGTTGTGACCGTGCTGCGCTTTTCGCGTGGGCCTGGCGTTTTGTTTTTTTTCTTTTCTTTTTTTATTTTGTTTTTTTTAAATGTAGATAGCTTTTTTTCGGAGCCACCTACACAATGCATTCGCTGAATCGCAATGAGAATCCTGTACTCATGCTGTGACCGAGACTCTCTATCAGTGAAAAATAGTTATGTTTTTAAAAATGCGTGTTTTCGCTTGCATTGATTTTTCCGGTCTTCCGTATTTTTCCGAACGTTCTCGCGGTCTCTTGAGGGTCTTGGAAATCGGACGTCCAGTGTGGCAGGCGATGATGATGGCGTAGGACTATCACACATTTGAATAAGGTGTGCAGATAGAAAAATATGCACATATTCTAACAATGATGACAGTGGCAGGTATGAAGTTGGGCATTATTTTTCCAGCCGTGAATAACTTTTTAAAGTAACTATTTGTTATTTTCAAGTGTTGTGGAGATATAAGGAGGATAAAACTCAATTTATAATTCTGAAATTCATAGTACTAAAATATTTTTACATTAAAGCAATGAACATTTGGATGGAGATTCCCGAAAATGTCATTAATGAGAAAAAATCATTAATGTGAGGTTTTCTATAATGAGACATGACTGTAAGTATTATTTATTTCAAATTTTAAACTCAGATATTCTCAACACCTTACTTAGAATTCAGTGTCCAGCGCCAATATTTTGCTTACCGACTTATCTCTCGGTCAGTATAGTGCCAGAGGTGCTCCACAGAGACAATTTCCTGCACAAGAGAGGGTACTACAGGTGGCTGCTGCTGGCCCACAAAAGGCTGCGGGGATCCTTCCAGTGGAGACCCTGATGACAAGCTGCGTGACTCTGCAAAAATAGGACACTGGCTAAGTGCAAACAAAAAATATACTGTTTTTAGAAATTAGGGAGACAACCAATTGTCCTTAGAAAAATTTGCAACACTGATGGACAGGAGTCAGTTGGTTGGACTAGTTTTTTCCCTGCTGAAAATTTTGTAAAGTAGGGAAACATCAGTGGCCTCTCTGAACTATTCAAATGTTGTTTTGGGTGTTCTTAAAAACATAAATCCCAGTGTTTCATAAAAAAAGGTATTGCGCTTTAAGCAGCATGTGTTTTCAGAAACTCAGTTTTCATTGCACGTTTTCACCATTGACATTGGTTATCACTTTCCCCAGATGTGCGTGCACGGCAAGTAGAACATACTTCGCAGACAAAAAACTATGTTTAAGACCAGGTAATTCCTGAATGAACTCCTGTGGGTATACAGTAGACTCTCTGTAAACGAAACCTAAAGGTATCAGGAAAATTTGTTCCATTTAACAGGAGTTCTGTTTACAGAGAGGTGAACATCGGTGTAAAATACAGGCCTGAAACCAAGCAATGCAGAAATAATAGTTCCATTTATACAGTAGTTCCGTTTAACAGATTTCCATTTACTGAGAGTCAACTGTACTTTGCAAAATAGGCTTTCATTTAAAACAACAAAAAACAGCCCTTCATAATCTTTGCCGGTCTCTTTATGAATAGCAACAAAGCACACAATTGCATTAATGTTCACTCATAGCAGTATGAAATACAGTATAAAGCACTTATAACTAGGCTTGGGCGAATATTCGACTGCTTTGAATATTCGAACAAATAATGCAGTATTAAAATTTGCTTCAAACCAAATTTAAATCATTGAAAATTTTGAATTATTCAAAACGAACCAACAGATGCATATTAGTTCGCATGTAATAACTTGCAAAGGTGGTTTCACTGCAGCATAGGAGTGCTAAGCAGTGAAAGCAGCTATCTAAATATTGGTTCACACGTAACTTTTCGTAAAACTGGCTTCACTGCCCTGAAGTTTTGCTGAGCCGTGAAAACACATAATCAAAAGAATTCCGCACTGCGGCGAAACTCCACTTCAAAGTTAAATGAACACAATACGCTCACGTCAATTTATTTATTTCTTTCAGCTTAAAAGCTTGTTATAATGACTTATATGCTCTAAATACAGCAAATTTTAAAACTTAACATATTTGACAGACTATCGCTTGCATTCTAAGGAAAATCAAAACCTGCACTATTCAAAGTTGTTTCCACTTCCTTTGATCAAAAAAAAAAAAAAAAGGCTTTTGCGCAGGCCTTCTTTGATTTTTCAAAAAATATTGCCACGTTCTATTTCTCAAGTTTTGTTATCGCCCCAAAACACTACACAATTTTCAGCGCAAATCGCGCCTGCAGTTTTCGAGAAACTTTCGGACTTTAGTAGATCATTTCGATAAGATCACGCCCACTTTGCGAACTATACAGATTATTCTGGAACCTACGCCACCGCCAGCGATAACGCCAGAACATTCGACGGCAAGAGTATAAATGCCGACGCACTTTGCCGCTTGTGAGTAGTTGATCGACGGCCGACGCTCCGTTCGCCGCTATCAGTCCAAGACTGCTACTGTAATCGGATTTTCCATTTACGGGGCATAGGTTCGCCCAAATAAACAGTTAAATTCCAACACAAAGTCTCCTGTCTTTGGCCACGTCACTACCCCCTGACAATATTGTGCAGGTTAGTTTGGTCATAACAAATATGTCCCTCTTTCTTTAAAATGTGTGATATACACACTATTCCAATTCGATTTGAAGTTATTTGACCAAAATCATATTCGCTTCGCACTTACTTCGAACCTAAAATTCCCTATTCTCCCAAGCCTACTTACAACATAAGTGACAGGAGTCATGACTTTCTTTCTGCACTATAACACACACACACACACACACACACACACACACACACACACACGCACACGCACACGCACACGCACACACACACACACACACAAAAAAAAAAAAAAACATTTTTTAATTGGGCAGCACTTGCGCAAAATGTGTTGAGCATGCATCCTTGTGTGTCCAAGAATCGAAGCATGCGATGCATGGTGCTTTCAACCTTTTAAATTTCCGAATGTTAAAAAAAAAATTTAACGTCCAAATACATGAGTTGCCAACAAAATGAAGACAAAAAGTAGGGCGGGGGTTTAACAAGAGAAGGTACCGTCGCAGAAATTCATTGCTTCTCAGACCGCCTCGATTATGCACATTACATTATGTCGAATCGCACCCAGAATTTCACAATCTGAAAAACGCCAATCGTTCGATTTGATGACCATGCACCCGATTTCAAGATGTTGCAATCAAATCGCCAACCACTATTTGAGTGCTACACGTGCCACCCTCGTTTTCATTAACGACATGCATCCCTTCCCTTCAAGTGCAGCCACCGCAAAGTTTTGTTGATTCCATACCAAACTGCAACTTGGATTGCACGGGACTGCTACCAAAACACAACCAATGCCGCTTAGGCCATTCAGTGTGTCGTTGCGGGAAGTTTGTTTAAGACGTGAAGATCTGGCGTGAAAAATACTGCACTCAATTGGCATCAACCAAGAACAGAGTGCGTGATAAGAGTTCACAATCGCGGCCGGAAGATCAACAACGACAAAAACCCGCCAATAAAACAGCGCACTGGCAGCAAAAGTGAAAGCTGGCATAATAAAGCCGTAAAATGTTTTAAATTTATGGACGAGGTAGCAAACACGATATTTGTAGCAAGCACGGTAACGACCATGCTTTTCCCAACAGCAAACTGTTAAATGCAGTCAGTAAGAACGGGATCGCATGTGCCACGTTGAGCCGCGTGAGGCTGCAGCCACGCTGACGGTAACGCCAGTGCAAAGGCTTAAGGACTGAACAGACGTATGCACTGCAGCGTGTCAGCACGTAGTATTTTGATGCGGTATGCATCAACAACGGCGCCGTGGGGAAGGCTCGGCAAGGCCTACAGTGTTCTAGCAATGCCATTTTGCCTCAGTTATCTGCTGTCAGTCTGCTGTTTTCTTTTTTCTATTTCCTTTAGAAATGAGTGGTAGTTGACAGCAGTTTACGATAGGCTTTAAGAAAAAAGTTATCAAGCATGCCAAAGCGCACGGCAACCTGGTGGCACAACAGGAATTCGGTACATCGGAGAAAAACGTTCGATACTGCAGAAGCTAAAAGCAGAGCACCACATCCTGCAGAAACAAACAAAAAAAAAAACCTCGTTTCGTAGATGCACTGCAGTGCACCTCGAACTGGAAACACTACTCGCCGAATTCATCCAGAAGCCGCATGCAAAGTCGCTACCCGTAACAATGGAGTGCATTCGCTTAAAAACTCTCAAGATTGCGCACGACTGTGGGCTCACGAGAGTGCAATGCAAGGGATCACCATCATGGGTGCGCTAATTTATCAAGCAGAATGGCTCTGTGATGAGGAGGCGCACTTTTGTTTTCATAACGCATTGGATAGAACAGAGGACGATTTACTCAGGGACATTACTAGTGAAAAACAAATCTCCTCGGACTCAAGTTCAGACGAGTCTGAGTGACAGCACTTTGTGCCCTTCTAGCGTTTCAACTACACAAGATTAGGGTCCAAATAAAATAAATGTGACCAAAGTGCAGCTGGTTGTGTCACGTATTTACCAAGGTAAGGGTGCGCCATGATACTTTGCGGTTTTTTAAAATTTCTTTTTCGGAGAGTCAAAGCTTGGGAGGTCGACCCATATTCCGGTTTTCACAGTATATACAACAGAATACTGATAAAACGACCCCTTATCATGGCACTTTCGAGTTCGTTATAAAAAGGCTCGGCTATACTTGTAATGTTCTAATATGAATGTGACCTATTGAATTAGCATAGGTACCTTTCCACTTATTTGTTGTCATGAACATTTTGCGCTGGCCATCTGCATTTAGCTGCTACGACTTTTAAAAAAATTCATATTGCTCAGAGCTATACATATCTACAGCGTGGTAACCCAAGAACCAACACACGGGAACACAAAAAATGCTAGTTAAATACAGAACTGAAGCTAGTGTCAATAAAGCTTACTGTTTTTTCTTTATGGTGCAAGCAAAGCACTTTGTCTAATCACCCCCCCCCCCACCCCCATACCTTCTTTTAGTATAAAATTCTAACTATATTTTCTCACATAATATCAGAATGCCACCTAGCACTCGTCGACTGTTTCGATGGACTTCGCAATTCCCAATGCATGCTCAAATTGCATAGACCACTCCTAGATTTCATCCAAGAAACTGACCACATCCTTTCATTAAATTTATGCCATACGGCATGCCGGTGCAAGAAGAAATGTTTAATGATGCTTTGCAGTTGCTAAGCTGGTCCAACAGTGGCACAAGTAAACTATTTCGTGCTGGAAAAAAAATAAGCAAATGACCATACTTTAAGTAACTTATGAGTTGTCACAGTAATGTAATTTTGAAATACCTTTTTGCAACAGGGGTATGGGCTCTACAGGTATGTCTCCAGACTCTGAGGTAAGACGAGAATCACCACCAACAAGTTGTGATGGCAGAGAGTATGAGCACTGGTATGTGCTTCGGCCACCCCGAGTCCTGTCCTCACGAATGGCTGCACAAAAATAAAGCACCAAACTATGGTGCTATCACGAAGCTTCACCAACCGCAAGGATACAGTAGAAGTGTTTCAGAAAACAAAATAGCAGCAATTGTAAGTGGCCAAACATGTAAGTACAGCAAATTCTTGGTAATTTTTGTAATTTCATTTTTAATCAATTCCAAACCAGCAACCAAAGGTTCCTAGCTGCTGTTCATACATATGGGGCAACACTTTCACTACTTAGATCCTTAAATGAGCCAGATTAGATCAAGACTGGTAAGTATGCACATTCTTGAACTCAATTATCTTAACCAATAACAATAGTAGTGTCATTGTCTTTGCAATGGTAAAAGAGAGATAAAAAACAGAAATGACTTTTCTTGGCCTGTTCTAGGCAGATTATTGAATCGACCTGGCAGGTCGCAATAAGGATGAAGCGGAATAACCAAGTTCTAATGCATCACTTCCTTTTTTCAAGAATCGTACAAAAATTGTCCATGTGTTGCAGATACAGCAACTGCAAAAGTGGCACTTGCATCAGCTAACCAAAGCCAGCCTAATCTACCAATGTTGTTACAGGATGGAGACAGGGGAAATAGGGCAAGCATTCAACTGTGAAAAAACAATTATGGCAAAGAGCCAAGAGAAAAGAAGCTCTTTCAACTACTCACATCTCAAAAAGATCACTGCTGATCACACTCAGGAGTTCCGCTGACGATTGAAACAGTAGTAGTTCTATCAACAATAGACACTCCTATGTGCGCATTTCAATATTTTCGATTTGATAGCCTATATTTTCAGCCACGATTCCTATAACCCCTTATTAAATGCAGCTCAAAGGGCACCAAACGGTTAAGGAGCAAAGAGACAGAAAAGTATTGCGTGCAAAATTCAGTTAACCTAACAATATAAAAAATATCGAGTACCTTCAAGTTTCATGCCTGTCCTGAGGCATTTGTCAAAACGGCAGGCAGGGCACTTTTTCCGTGTAGCCACAGCAACTGGGCAGGCAGCTCCTCGAAGACAGACATAGTGCTTTTTGTTCTGCACTGTACGTTTGAAGAACCCCTTGCAGCTTTCACAGGAAAAGATACCATAGTGAAAGCCCGAAATGCGATCCCCACAAATGGGGCATGGCCCACTGAGCAGCTGCTGTCGTGAAACACCACCGGGGGCTTCCCCAAGGGCCCCCAGTGGGTCAACTCCAGCCCCTTCAGCTGAGGGACGTCGAGTTGGGCTGGACAGGTCAGAGGCATTGGACTCATCTGATGCACTGGATGCCACAGATGCACTAGAAGCTGAAAGGACAACAAACACACAAATGAAAAGAGCTACCTCCCAAAACACCTTCTACAATATATTATGCCAAATCTTGACCTCTACAGTAAAACCCAAAACCCCATTAATTCGGACCTCACGGGACTGGAGAGAATACCAGAATTAACCGAGGGTACGGATTATCGCGAGCACAAACAAAAATGAAAAATGTCTCCTGCACCATCAGACTTGTACTTAAAAAAGTATGTGATCGTGGTTTGCTTCACTGACGCAATGTGTGGCGAAGTCACAATTTTGCGAAGTTCCTGCAGGTGGCTTAGTCCGCGCACACTGTTTGAGGAAACTAAGCATGTGTCCTCCAAAATGGCCAACGCATGCGCAGCCTCTGTCATTGTGTGGCGTCGACCCTCGTCTGCATCACTTAAGTCATGGTCAGCCGATTCCCCTTCGCCATCCAAGACTTCGGCCGCGATATCGCTGTCGGTCACTGTGCAGGCCACGGCAACATCGCTGTCAATTGTGAAGTAATCGCCCACGGGCGCATCAGCTGGCACGATGCTTACATACTGGCCGTCTTGCTCTTCGCCGGTTTCTTTATCAGCCACCACGCCTGCATCAGTAGCGTCATGCTTGAAGCCACTATGCCTAAAGCAGTTGGCAGACTACAGCAGGCGGTGTCTTGTTCCACATGTATGTGAGCATGTGGATTGCGCTTAGTAGGCTTACTTCGTAAGATTGCCCGCGTCCATGCAGAACATCGTCCCCTCGAGTACCTGCTGTCGCTAGCGGCTTTTCACAAACTGTACGATTCCGTGGTCCATCAGCTGCAGGGAAGTCGTGTTCAAAGGCAGGAATAGCAGTTCAATGTTCTCGAGCCCGAACACCTTCGTGTGCGCATACAGTTGTCTAGCACGAACAACACCTTACGAGCCTTTGCCGCAAAGCGGCGGTCGCGCTGACACAGCTACGCTTAAAAGAGTTCGGCAGTCATCCAAGCCCTTCTGTTGAACCGGTAGTCGACAGGCAGCTTCTCCTTCATATTCTTAAAACCACCTAGCTTCGCAGCCTTTCCGATCACCAGCAGCGGCAGCCGCTCAGTGCCGGTCATGTTAGCAGCCAGAACTGTCACGCACTCTTTACTTCGTTTTCCACCGACGTATGAGTCCCCCTTAAACGCGATTGTCTTGTCAGGCTGAGCCACAGTGCTGTCCCATCAGCGTTGAAAATGTTGCACGGCTCGTACACAGAAAGGTGCGCCGATAGTCCAGCCCGCCAGTCTTGCACAACACCTTCGTCAACGGTACCTCCTTTCTCCACACACGTTGCGGAACACCAGCTCGTGTCACTTCTTGAAGTGGTCGAACCAGCTTTCCAACGCACTGAGAGAGTCAATGTTCATGGTCATCGCGAACTTCTCTGCTTGAGCGAAGATAAGGGGGCCGCTCAAGGGCAAACACGCAAAACGGCATGCCAGCGCAACAGCACTTTTTCTAGCTTGGGATGCGCTGCGGTTCAGAACGTCTTCCTTTTGTCGCCGAAAATGGCCCCGTTATACGCTTGCATAATCTGCTCTTCATTCTTCACGTAACTGCTCAGCGTGCTTTTCCTAACATTGAACTTTCCATGAGTTCTTTTCGACATGCTCTCGCTTGCAATGCCTTCAATATTTTCACCTTCGCGGCGAAATTTTTTGCTTCGTACTTCGTCCTCTTCGCTGCGGAAGTTGGGGCGGTTTGGGCGCAGGAGACGTAAGGGAAGCCATTCCAGCGCAACTCACATGCCCGCGAACGGAGAGTAGACAACACGTACACACACACACACACACACACACACAAAAAAAAAAAAAAATGCCCGGTGAAAAAAGGAAAGTCAAATCTGTGGGTTACCCGTTACTGATGACAATAGCGATGCACTGCCTTTCATTTTGGTTGTAAACCACCATGTGTTTTTTTTTTTTTTTGGGGGGGGGGGGGGGGGGGGGGTTGCCTTCGAGATGTACAGCTAATTTTTACCCATGAACAAAGTTTTGAATCTCAGAGGCTGCAATCCGATTCCAAAGTTGTTTAGATGCGCTGTCGATTTGGCCGGGCAGAATCGACTGCTGCTTCCCTGTCGTGACTCGACGGCTGTCGGGCGTTCGAATTAACCGAAGCGCGGCCGAATTTGTCCAAATTAATGAGAGTTTTCAGTCATAGAACAAGGCACATTTTGGGTGGGACCAGATGTCATGGCGAAATTAAAACCGAACTTACAAATTAACAGGGGTCAAATTAATGAGATTTTACTGTACCAAGATTAAATTATAAGTCAGAACCACAAAAAATCACCCCACATTCAAAATTAGATTCTTATTTAAAACCACATTCCACTTGCTCTGTCACATTGCCAGTAACCTGTCTGAGGTATAGCCAATGATTAAAGCACACATTTTTGATGCCATGAAACAAGGTCACAATCCAGCGAATGGCATCACCCAAATGACGATTCCCAGCTATTTTGCCAATACAGGAGATTTCAAAGAGCCCTGCCATTGTTAGTGGTGACTGCTGGGCAAGCCAAGCCTACTCCAAGGCTTTTCACTTATGCCGATAAAGAAGTACTATATTTTACTTTACACACTATGCAAAACAGGCTTGGCATTGGAGAATGATGTTCTACAAGCTTCTCAGAGACATATAAAAAATGCAGGACCCCGGAAATGCAAGAGACGAGGAACAGAAAAAGAAGTCCTAGTAAAGTGCACACAATTTCGACAATTTATAAAATTGAGAGCATAAAAAAAATCGTGCAGTATTGGCAGGTGAGTTATATTCATGGCCAATTAGCGCAAGGCAAGCAACTGCAGTGTCGAAGGTGACAGTTGAACTGGGGGGTATAAACTGTAGGCTTGAGGCTACGAAAAAGTTCATGTACCATAGGCATCTTTTCTTGTTAGACAGAACATAACTAAACCAACACACAATGAAGCCAAAAAAAGCAAAAAGACATTGTTTGCAGTTTTCAACTCTAGTGCAGTAATTAGAGCATTAATGGAATGGAAATAAGTGGATGGAATATCAACTTGTTGTAGAAAGGGCTGAATCTAAAACCTTGTAATAATGCACCTGATTCTCTACCAATTCAGCTACAGTGGTGATGGTTTTCTCATGCACTTTATTAGGTATTTCTGTATGCATAACCCCGTGCTCTGCAATAACAGCAGGCAGAAGAACTGTTCTACACTTGCCGTTATGGCCGTGAGTGGCCCTGACTAACACTCCAAAAAGTTTTTTTTTTTTTTAATTTTCTTGACAACTGTTGTAGCTCAATTGATAGAGCATCATACATGTTATCCGAAGGTGGTAAGTTTGGTCCCTACCAGTGGCAAGTTGGTTTTTGATCCATTTTATTTCCTTTACATTTATGCTGTAACTACTACACTACAGTTGAATTACAGTAATACCTCGTTAACTCGGAGTTGTAAAAAACAAGAAAAATTTCGAGATGAGCGTATTTTCGAGATAAGCGAAGTTGCGCAAATCGCCGGGAAAAATCGAGTGCTTTTTAGCAAAATCCCTACTACTTACTGGCTCTCAGCAGCAGTTTCTAAGGTTCCTTCTAATGAAAGTTTAAAAGAGAAAAAAAAAAGCGTACAAAAGATGTTAACCAGCTGTATTTTGCAGCACTGCCATTTTATTTAGCGGAGAAAAACTCCCTAATGCTCGTCTGCTTTGCGGTCGTGCTCGGGCCTAGGAAGGCGTCTGCCAGCTGATTCACGCATTGCATCAAACGATCTTTCCCGCCGCTGCACTTCACCTTATTTCGAAGCAAACACAGCAAATTTCTTGTTTCTGCAGATGTCGGCACCTCTTAAGGTAGTTCGTCATCAGCGTCGTCTCCGCCGCCCCCTCATTAGTGGCCGTTTAAACGATGTCAGCGTTCGTCCGGACATCGGCACATCCTGCTCGCACGAAGCGTACTCGAGAAAAGTCACGTCACCTTCAGCGGCACTGTTACAAGCCTCCTTTCTCCACTTCCTTGATCAGGGCAAACTTTCTTTCCAGCGTTAGTGACTTGCACTGCTTTTGTGACGCCATGCCTGCCGCACTCATGCTAAGTCGCCGCTCCTCAAAGTCAGTGTTAAATTTGTACTGCGTGCGTTGTGTAGATTAGACTGAACAGAAATCACACCTTAGAAAAACAACAAGCACTGCCAAACGAATGAGAAAAACGACGTGACTACGCCAAGCATGGTGGTGGGGCAAAGAGCAAGGCCTCCTGCATTCCTTCCTCCATGGCCTGCTGCATGGGAGTCACATCTGTGGTGACATGACGTGCGACAGGGTTGCTCGACAAAGTTGATATGCTGCTAGGTTCATACTTCACATTTGCGGAAAGTATCGACGTAGTGGCAAGTGCGGCTAAATAAGAATGAATTTTGTGTAATGATCCGGTGGCGGAATTTTTGTTCCACTCCCACTCAAGATTTCGAGATATCCACAATCCGATCCAGAAATACTTCGACATAAAGAGAAAAAAAACACATTGGACGTAACGGCTTGGTTTGGTGCAGCGGAAAATTTTGACTTCGCCAATTTTTCGAGATATACGAGTTCGAGTTACCAAGGTATTACTGTACAAATAAAATTACAAATAACATCCCATATGCTTTTTGCTTAGCTTCATTCTATGCTGGTTTAATCATGAACTTGAGAAAGCTTTTTTTTGCGCTACACACCTACAGTGCCGTGTGTGTGGCTTTTGCCATGATCCCTTGAGCCTACCTTTTTTATAAATCTGGTGCCTTTACGGCCAATGAGAATCTTGGCTCTGGCACCTCGGGAGGTGCTCTTGAGCAACCACACATGGCAATACATTAGCTTTTGTGAGATTTATCACCAGATACGCCAGTCTTTGTAAGCAATAACATTCTTGGCCCGCTGTCTTCGCACAGTTGGCACAGTATTGGACCGGCATGGCGAGCAAAGATCAATCACCTTGCAAAAGTGAAAGCATTTTCAAATGTGACAGTCAGAGAATGAGGCTCCTCTTCTTAAGCTTCGTCACTACTCCACCAATCAGCACACACTGCCACAATGTCATTGATGGATAGAATCGTGGAGGCGACAACAGCGTCATCCACAGAAACTTAATTGTATGCAATTCTTTTAGCATCAACAGTTTGAGACGAAAAAGAACTATGAAAAAGAGCTAAGCACACACACGACCACACATGACCATTGTGACAATTCACAAGTAAAAAGACATTATGCGAAGACAAGTTCAAGCCAATGCGATGGTGCAACTCCACCAATTCAGGGGGCCTAAGTTTTAATAACAGCATGCGAGAAACTAAGTAAACTATATACAGCATGTTTCAAAGGCAAACACAGATCCTGGGGTCTATGCTTTTCATGGCAGGAATCAAAGCCATGCCATGGGTAACGTCAACACCACAATGTGTGGCTAATCAAAGTCAAAATTCTACTTACTGCTCACCACGGCCACTTAGGCCAGTATGGAGTGCCAGTTCTGAATGCCAGTTCACAACGTGTCATATGAAAACAATCCCACAGTTGCAACATAAGAGCAGGATTTTCAATGCATGAAATCCTATGGAAGCTATGCTGGGACTTGCCGAAAACAACATTGCAGCTGGGAAAACATAAGCTCCGAAACGCAACAGCAGGATTCTACTGTTTTAAAACTCAAGAAACAAAACAGACTACTATTACTGGCAACACCAGTTTGAGGTCTGATTTTTGAAATATGCATTTTGCATACCTGTTGATCGAGTGTCGGGTGTGGGCTGAACCACAAGATAGGGATAAGGAGGCTCCGAGTTCGCTGGTGTGTATGGCACCGCACTAGTGTTTGTACGGGACACTGAAAGGTTGCGCAAGTGAGCTGCTGTTGGGGAAAGGCCGTCAGCCAATCGATGCCGGCTTTGGCTTGGACTTTGAGAAGGTGAGTAGACTGCTTCTACCAAGGACACATGGCGGCCCTGCAAAAAAAGTGATAGCAACACAGCGCCACACACACCAGTTAATACTGCTGAGGCTGATCCACTTGATACAAACCAAACAGTCAAAAAGGTTGCCTTGATGCAAAATTTTCAGCATTAAATTACACATTGCATAGAAAACTATATGCATGCCTCACAAATTCTTTTCTAGATATATGTAGTAGGCTTGTGAAAATATTCGAATGTTCGAAATACAGTCGATTCTGGATATATCAAACTCAGATATATCAAATTATTGGCTATATCGAACAGTTGAAAAATCTCCTTAAATTTCCCATGCAGAAGTATGAGACCGGTGCAACCGTATATCGAAATCCCACACAGTGGAACATCCGTTCTATCGAACGCTGCCCAGAAAGTGCATCTTTCCTAGCAAATATTGATAAATTCTTGGCCACGTTATAACAAGTGCCGATCCTTTCTTACGTGCAAGTGCCAAAAAAACGATGTTATTTCATCATGCTGATCTCGTTCGTCGCACGGCACTTGCAAATACAGTATTTACTTGTGTAATGAACCCCCCTTTATTTTCTCAAAAAAGTTCATGGAAGTTTGGGGCAGGGTTTGTTACACGGGAGAAAAAAGTCACGGGAGTTATAACAGCCAAAAGTTCGCATGACGGTTTCGCTTGTCTTGGTCTGCGAAATGCGCAGCGAATCGTTTTTGTAGCCCAAAGCTCTTCTTGTTTTCTATTGTAACGCATGCACACGAATTGATGCCAATGTGTCGTCTAGCTGGTCGGTTCCCATGCTCCAGAGCATGCTCAACCAAGAGTAAGTTTTAAATCAGCCGCGTAGATAGCGTACCAGCCGAACCCGTCCTGCACAGCAGGTATCCATCCAAGTTCACTACGACAAAGCTGACAACAAAAACGCATTGTCAGATGGCGGCGCACAAACGTTGCAGGAGCACAACACGCCACTGGCGCGGTTGTGCTGTGCATGGCCTCCGAGATGGCAGGCGTGTGGCGTATTTCTATGCTGCATGCCCGCCGTCTCAGAGGCCACGCATTTTTTTGTTTTCTTGCCACTGGGCTTGCGTGGCGCTATAATCAAAGAGGTTTCTCCTGCATTCGACAGATGGCGCTTTGCCGCAAAAGGCACCACTTTTAAATTTTGATTGACGTAGTCCCAGCTCGTGCTGCTCGCAGTTTAGCATGGCAGATAAGCTATGTTTTGACTTTTATTGCATCATTATTTGTGATATAATGGCTTGATTTCATGTTTTTTCAATCGTAAACGACACTGGCTATTATATCGAAATAAAATGGATTTATTGACAATTTTTTTTTCTTTTTTCAAGTTTTTTCAAGTACCAAGTTGTGGGGTGGGTTCAATATGCGAGTGGGTTTATTACGCGAGCAAGTACGGTACATACGTAGGTGTGATGCGCAATCTACAGGTCTTAGTGTGCAGGCATAGTGTTTTCCAAAAGACCGATTGCCGAGGGCACCGAAAAAGCAAGACATGCTCGATCGCGAGTACAAAGACTTCTCCCACGGCGGTCTTCGTCAAAAGGTTCGAAACGCTGATAAGCAGAGCTTTCCCACCAACCAGTCGAACCTGTGACAGTAAGTTCGAGACGCACATGTGCGACGTTCGCGATGAGTGCAGCATGCGATCGTAATCTGACGACTAAACTTCCGCATGCAGCTGCCTTAACTAAGGCGTAATTGTATCCTGAATTATCGTCGATCGGTGAACACAGAGCAAATGCGAAAACCTCATTAAGTAGCACAATTTCAGACAGCCGTGACCGTGCGATGCACAAGAAGCAGACGACAATATCTCAGAGGCGTATTCCGAAACGAGCATTGGACCAGCGAAGCGTACTGGAGCAATATGGCGGAAACAGCCAGTCGAAGTGAATAAATATGAAATTCCTCTTTACGAAATACTTAATACGACGAGCCCAAACTAGTGGTAGGCAGTTGTGCTGTGGTGAAGGTACAAATTTTGAAAAATGCCGTTTTTTTTTGTTTGCAATACAGTTAAACCTCGTTATAGCGAGATGGGTTATAACGAAATAATGGATATAACGAGCAAATCATAATTCCCCTTGAAAGTCGCCATAGAAACTAATGTATTTAAAACCTCATTTTAACAAGGTAAAATTTGACAGTTATCGGATATAACAAACAAATCTCGTTAGGAAATAAAACTCTGAGCTGACGTCACTACAGTGCAAAACGCGCATTTGAGATGGTGCACAACGCAGCAACTTCAGCAGTTCAAAACTCCCGCCACGCATCTTCCAGCAATGCGTGCAAAGCTGAGGCGTGCCAAGTGCATGCTGTTTCTGGAGGAGAGGGTGTTGCACGGGCATTGCACGTGCGCCGCTTGGCTACCGCCGACTGCTGAGGACTCCACAACTCCGCAAACGCCTCGCCCTTTTCGCTTCTTTCTTTTGTGTCTTTATATTCTTCCTCTCCGCTTCTTCACGGCGCTGAGTCATGGTCCCTAACAGGCTGCAATGAAGAGAACCCTTTCTATTATAATCTTTCTCTGCGCCCGTGAGCCCACTCGCAACATCCCCACTTCCCCTCAGTTAGCATGGCCGTGGCACGCCTGCCTGCCACCACTGCAAGTGTTCTCACTCGCCGATGTTATCCGCACTGTTCTTGAGTGCGTGTTTTTTTTTTAGTGCTTCTGCCCTATCTTGATTGTGCGGTGCTCATAATTCCAGCGACATGAATGTGCCAGGCGGAAAGAGAAAGCGTATAACGCTAGATCAGAAGGTGGCTATGATAAAAGCCGTTGAGGCGGAAACAAAAAAAAGCAAAGTGGCAAGTGACTTTGACATGTCGACGAATACACTGTCCACGATCTTGAGAAGCAGCTCCCAGTGAAGTACACGGCCAATCGCAAAGCCTGGATGACCAGGGAGATTTTTGCAAAATGGCTTTTGGAATGGGACGAGAAGCTGGCAAAAGCGAACTGCAAGGTGTGCCTTGTTTTAGATAACTGCACGCCCACCACACCGCCGCCGCGCTCTATAACATCGAGCTGCTGTTCCTCCCTGCCAACTGCACAGCAAAAATACAGGCGCTTGACCAAGGTGTGATTATGTCGCTGATGGCAGGTTACCGCAAGCGCGTGATTTACAGGCTTCTGCTCAACATGAGGTTAAAGCGGGACACCGATGTTGACTTGTACGCTGCTCTCGAAATCCTTCGAGCGGCTTGAACGAGTTTGACGGCGACCACGAATGCAAATTGCTTTCAACATGCTTCATTTGCCGCCGCACCAGACGCCAGCAATGAGCCATCATTAGACGAGCCTGCTGCGCCGGACAGTTTCACCACATTTAACGAAGTCTTGGCATCATGGACGGCCCTTCGTGAAGCCGGTGTCGTGCCCGACAGCGAGTCATTCTGCGACTATGTGAGTGCGGACTCGGAAGTGGTGGCAACGGAACAGCTCCCCGATGACATCAGGTGCGCTGTCAACAATCTGGATGGTACCAGTGACGATGACTCTGTTGACGAACGGGAGACCACCGCGCGGGCGACCAACGTGCTGGCAACATCGGAGGCATTAGACGCAGTGGACGTACTGCGCCGCTACTTTGGAGCTCATGAGGGCGCAAAAGATGGCTTCAATATTGCGGCCGCAGCTGAGTGAGCCATCACTCGCAATAGGAAGATCCACCAGCGTCCGATTACGGATTTCTTTGCACCTAAGTCTGTCTCAAGTGCAATAAAATAAGTGCGTGACATTCTTTTTTTATTTGCGAAATGCGGTAATTTTGTTGCGTACCACCGTGAGGTGAGATGCTATTTTGCCTGTTATTTGTTTTGGGTAAGTACAGTGCATACCGTATTCACTCGCGTAATTCTCGCACTCGCATAATTCTCGCACCCCCCACATCGCCCAACAAAAATACTTTTTTTTTCATCGAGTAATTATTGCACCCCCGAAAATTGCCACAATAATGTCGTCTGCTCATTCCAGCAGTTGATGATGATAGTGCACGCCATCTGGCACCATCTCTTAAGCATCAAGCGTACTATTATTGCATGAAGATTCAATCCAAACCAAGCCAAGCCAAAGTGGCAAGTGCCCGTTGCGGCGTGTTTTGTATGTTGTGTCGGTAATCTTGTGGCGTTATGTGGCAATACTGAAGCTACACGACTGCTTTCAAGTTGAAAGTGATTGATCATGCACTAAACAACGGCAACAGGGCCGCCGGTAGGCCCTTTGAAGTCGACGAGTTTTGTGTTCGCTACTGGTGACGGCAGCTGAAAGCCACCAAGACGCGTTGGGCCTGCCGTGTGCGTAAGACTGGGATTGATGGTAAACTTTATTTCTTCCGAAGTAAACTGTGGACGATTCTGTTAAATAGCCATCAGCCCAATATTGACATCCTACGCTTACCTTTTGAGGGCTCCTGTTTAGTGACAAACACTACCATTACGCCCGCAACGCCCACAAGCTTTGCGTATGGTTTCTCGACTGTTTGATTGTACTTTCTGTGTCTGAAATAAATCTTGCCCTGTGTTGAACCTCTGCTTTTATTGTTTAAGTAAATTTTAAGTAGTACTTCTCAAAGCTTGCTGTTAGTTGCTGGTGTGAGAATCCCGATTTGCGGCCACTTCGTTTTCTTGTTCGCTCTGTACGTTTTCGTGGAAAGTTCTCCCCGCGCAATTCTCGCACCCTCCAACTTTGCATCCGTTTTCCACCAAAAAAAGTGCGAGGATTATGCGAGTAAATACGGTAATACTTCCAGTAAATACCCCCTGTGGCTATAACGAAATATTGGTTATAACGAGCAAATTGCGGTGGCCTTCCAATTTCGTTATAACGAGGTTTAACTGTATTCACCATAAATTTCACCAGATTGGCAGGAACACAAAACTTTTTACAGCTCTTCTACACAGTTTTCAGTGAAGATATTTTGGAATCAGATAGAAAAATGACTACAGAAACCACAGATGTGATTTTCAAAAAGATCAATTCTTTATGCCCCACTGAAAACAAATCCATATATGACTTGTAATTTATTTCTATTATAACAGACCCATTCAGTGTTTCCATACAAGTCTGTTTTAAAAGTACTTAAATTTTACATACTCCTTTTACAACAGACCAAAATCCTCTTGAGGTTATACTGTAATATGAGGTTATACTGCAATAAACAACACAATACGATAAGAATATTCACATCTTCATTGTTGCTTTCAGGGCCTATAGGCACCTTACAATTTCAACTCTTCGCAGCAATGCAGTTTTGCAACACCGAAAGAACACTTGCGAAAGAAACACGGAGCTTAACCAATGGTAGTGCACCCACGGTCGAATGTAGCACATATGCCAAAACCTCAGACACGAAGAAAAACAATTTACGGAGCATGTCCAAGTTTTGTCAAAAATGAAAGGCCTGTGGGGCTCTGCAACTGCAAGAACATTCTTGGGTCAATCATTCTTTGTTGACACACCCAAGCTAAATGCTTCAGCTATTTCAGAAACCTTGACGCCTGTCTCCCAAAATCGAGCATTGATTTTTTTTTTTCTGCAGACCTATGTCAAAGTTGCTCTCACAAATAATCTCACAAAAGGGTTTTTGATGAACACTCTCACACTACTTAGAATGCTTATTTAAATTTCTCAAAGGCTCATTTATAGAATTTTTCTGAAAGTATGACACTTGCATTGAGATACAATTCAGAAGAGGAAAACTAAAGACATGCAACAATGCGCATGGACTTTCCTGCTGGCATTCTTTGTTCCTCAGTACTGATATACAGATGAACACTAAACCTCTATGTAGAGCTGGAGGTGATGCAACAAACATTTATTAAATAATTGCCATACAACGACACCTTTTACTTTGTAGTAGAGAAAAAAAAAAGCAGCCGCAAAAAAATTTGAGGTGACCAGACGAAAATGAACTTAAAAAGACAAAAACATTTAGTTCAGTGGTAAGAGAGAAGAATGAAGCAAATGAGCTGATGGCAAGTTCTGAAAGACAGCCACATTGTACCTGCAGTGGGCTACTCGTGGGCGAGTAGAGGGAGCCATCAGAGGAGGCAGCCCCATGACGTGGAGGCAGTCCCAGGGGCCCTCCTCTGCTGCCTCCAAGTAGTGGGCTCTGGCTAGGTGAGTACGACGACCGTGAGCTTGACGAGCTGGTGGGACGTGGGCTCTCACCAAAGGGTGGTGGCTGGAAGGCACTACTGCCACCGAGTCGTCCTTCCCCTGCATCGATGGTTTCATGCACAAATCAGCCCTCCAACAAGACAAAGAAAACATTCCATAGCACCCAGTGCCACTTTAATTAATGGAAGACAAAAACGCTGAGTGGACAAACATTTGACCATGATATTGACACACAATCAATACAGTGAAAACTCGTTAATTCACACCTCATTAATTCGAAATTTTGGATAATTCGAAATGGTCACCACAGTCCGGTCCGCAGTGCATAGGAGACCATGTGTAAAACGATACGTTAATTCGAACAGAAATTGCTCCCGCTACAGATAATTCAAAGCGCGCGCCGCCGAGCATCATCATCGTCAAACACTAGTGAAAGCTTCTATGGTCAAACGATAGGTGGCACGACCAGTTTTTTCGAGCTTCAAGTGGCCTTCGAGCAAAGGGCGAGCAAAGTATGGCCTCCAAAATCCAGGGAGCAATTTTTTTTTATTCCGTAACCCTCCCGCTATCTCAGCGCCTGGCGCCACTTGTACGCAGGACCCACGGGACGCTAAGGAGCAGGCGGAGTAGTCCTAGCAGTCCTAGGCCGCTCCCGGCAGCGTCACTTTGTTCCTCGAGCACGTTCGTTCACGCCGTCAAGCCGTCTTATTCCGCATCGAAGTTGCAAGATGTCGCGGGGAAACTACTGCGCGAAGACTGTCAAGGAGAAGGTGGAGATTTTGCGAGAGGTTGACCAAGGGAACTCGAGCAAATACGAAATTGCGAGGAAGCACGGCATACCTCCGAGCACGTTGTCAACCTACATACGCAACAGGACGGCCATTGAAAACGCCTATGAAAGCGAGGATTTCGGCGCCAGTCGAAAAAGGCTAAGGACGGCAAAGTTCCCGGAACTGGAGCCAGCTTTGATTATCTGGGTTAAAGAAATGAGAGCCCAAAGTATCGCATTGAGCGGCCCTATCATCATGGCCAAGGCAGCAGATTTCGCCCTGCGCTTGGACATTGAAGACTTTGTCGCCTCCGAGGGATGGTTTCATCGTTTCAGGGAGCGGCACAATCTCGTATTCCGCACGTTATCCGACGAGGCAAAGGAAGTGGACGCCGAAACATGCGCTACTTGGAGAAGCAACACCCTGCAGCAGTACTTGGAGAGCTACTCACCGCAGGATGTGTTTAACGCTGACGAGACAGCGTTATTTTTCAAGTTGCAGCCCGACAAGACGATCACCTACAAGGGAGACAGTTGTGCTGGCGGCAAGCGCAGCAAAGAGCGTGTCACTGTTCTGGTCGCCGCAAGTATGACCGGTACGGAAAAGGTCCCCCTTTTTGTGATTGGCAACGCACTCAAGCCACGGTGCTTCAAAAACATTCGCTCACTGCCGACGGAGTACGCCGCAAACAAGAAAGCCTGGATGACAGGTGACCTATTCAGGAAGTGGCTACTGAAATTCGACAGGCGAATGGAACTGGGCGGCAGACGCGTTCTTGTCGTCGAGAACTGTTCGGCGCACAAAGTCGACGTTGAGCTGAGAGCAACTAAGTTGGTGTTCCTTCCGGCAAATACGACTGCGGCCCTACAGCCAATAGACCAGGGTGTGATAAGCAACATTAAGTGCTTTTATAGGCGTCACGTGCTGGAGAGAATGATTTTGTGCGCGAGCGACAGGAAGGACTTCGGCATTACGCTGCTCACTGCCATGCACATGTTGGTGCGCGCATGAGAACAGGTGACCGCGACCACAATCCCAAACTGTTTCCGCCACAGTGGATTTGCAGCTGGAAGTGCGCAGGATAGTTGTGACGTCGACGTGGGTGGGGCTGAGGAGCTCATGCCAGTGGCATTGCGCGACACTCCTCAGGGCGTACGTTTTGCCGATTATGTTAAAGTTGACACCGGTGCATCGGTGTGTGGTGCCCTGACTGATGAGGACATTATCGCTCAAGTAGCCGGTGCGCAGCCTCATGCTGAAGAGCCAGAAGGTGAGGAAGACGAAAATGACGAAGCGCCTGTGCGCCCGTCAGCTTCTGCGGTGATGGAGGCACTTAATGTGGCGCGTCTCTTCTTCAGCTTGAAGAGGGTGAAGAGGATTCCCTGCGCCGCATCCGCGCGCTGGAACAGAGAGCCGCAGCTGTGGCATTCAGAGAAAAGAGGCAGATGGTCATCACCGACTTTTTTGGCCAATAAATATTTTTCGTGACCCCACCCCCGAAATTCACCCATTTTTGCTCACTTTCACATTTTCGAATTTTGTTTAATTCGAAATTGCTCAGCGTTCCCGTGGAATTCGAATTAACGAGCTTTTACTGTACCTTCTTCCCAGTAGTAGTTTACAGAAGTATCTATATAGGCTTGCAAAATCAATTTTACCAATGGTTGATTTTAGGCACCATCAAGGGTTCCAGAAAAGCAATTGTACTTGTACGAAAGATCTTCTCTTATGGTGGCAGCCCTACTACGAAAGCAGGAGCTTCGCACTTTACACAAAATTTGCTGGTACACTGTGCATTCTGCCCACATCATGGAGATACAGTCCAAGACGGTTATACCGAACCCACATATGTTAAATTTTCGGATATATCGAACTCGCAAATTATCCCCTTGAAATTCCTTTGTAAAGATATAGAAATTCACACGTTTATATTGAACGATATTTTTACCGACCTTCGGATATATCAAACGCTGCGAGAGCTGGAAGGTGCGCTTCAGCACTCACCGCTCTGTCTTCCCCTCCCTCCCCCCTGCCCCCGCGATCTCTGCAGCTTTAATGGGGCTCCGCGGGCGAGTTGAAAGGCGCGCTTTAGCACTCGCAGCGCCTGGTGACCTCCGCCAAAACCCGAAACGCTCTAAAAAAGGGTGAGAGGGCTTGTACTGCATAATCTATAACTTGCAGAACTCTGTTTTCTTTCTGTTTCTCTTTCTCTCTTTCATGCTTTCTCCGCATACCCGTCAGCTCGAAGAGCCAGAACGAAGGTGCATACATCTTCCTTCTTTTACCTTTTATTTTTTCGTTGCTGTTTGCGAGTTTTGATCAGCCAACTACAGCTCGTGTCTTTTACTGTTGCCCTCGCAAATGGCCATCGCCTCGCAAGCTCGTTGTTGCTTCCACTGTCGCGTCGCCTAGGTACCACCGCATGTGCAGCTTTTCCATTTTCTGTGCATGGTGTGCGAAGCCGCTGCGAACTCCTTGAATAGTTGACTTCTCTTGTAGCTATGGCCAGCGTCAAAACGCACAAGACCCTTGGCTTTGCGACAAAGTTAAAGGCTATTCAGCGTGTTGTGGCGGGCGAGAAATGTTCGACTGCTGCGGACGACTTCAGGATACCACGGAGCACTTGAGTACCTTGTTGAAAAACAAGGCAGATATTAAGGCAAATGCGGCGGAGCAGCAAATGTCGGGAGCCTGTCATATGTGCGCTTCTGCCCACGGGAATGTAGAAAAGGCACTCTATGCTTGGTTTTTAGACGTGCACGCTTGGTTTTACAAGTGGTTTTTTAGAAGAACATTCCGGTGGATGGCCCGATGCTGATTATCCAAGTCCAAATGGTTTGCCACTGCACTCGGTGAAACAACTTCGCCAACAACAGCGGCTGGCTTCACCTGCTTTAAGCAGTGCTACAACATCGTTGGCAAAACATATTCTGGAAAAAGTGAAGCTGTCAGCAGCCAGGCCATCCAGCAGCGGATGACGAAGGAGTGGCCGGAAATCTTTACAAAGTTTTCTCCCGCGGAGATCTTCAATGCCTGGCGCATGGAGCAAGAAAGAATGGAGGGGAAACTCCGGGCTGGCCACAGTGCGAGCTGCGATAATGTCCCCCTGAGAGAGGAGGTTGGCAGACGTGCATGCAGCGATCCTTGCGGCGACACACAGAACTATTCGTTTTCCGCCGCAGGAGGAAAGCGCGCCCGCCCACGGCGCCCGCGATCTCGGACCGCGCTCGAGTGTTATCTGCTACATTTGCTTCTCGCAGACTCCACAGTGCTACTGGATGCAGCTATGAAAGTTTTTCATCGGCGCGGTTTGCCAAAACAAAATAAAGCAAGTAGAACGTCTTAGTGCCAGCATTTTCAATTATATATATTGGATCAGATGCCCTGCGAGCAACGAAAGAAATGAAGTGGTAGAATTAAAAAAAAAAAAAACAGACAATCTGTAATCGTAGTTCGGTGCATGCTTAAAATGACATTGTGTAGCTTGAGGAAAAATTTTGCATATTCTTCAATATAACAGTGTCATATAGAACTGCTGCTCGCGAAACAAAGACAATGACGGAGCACATTCGAGCAGACTGCAATCGATTTGAACAGAAGAGCGGAGACTGCCTCGAGCTGCGAATCAGTTCTGCGTAACAAAAAAAAAATGTTTGACCTTTCAACGCTCCGTCTGACCAAGAACAGTAGCAAAAATGGGCGAGGGCTATATGAAGAGGACATTGACAATGAGAGGGAAGCGACGGCGTCTAAGAAAATTATTTTCGCAGCGGAACGGACAGAAGACGGAAGCGGCGCCTCAAGTTTTTGAGCGGCAGTTTTACTTACTCGTGCCCGGCAGTGAAGCCAAGAATGGGCCGGAATGTAGCGGAAATTACGGATAAAAGGAGCGCCAAACGAAGAGGATACTCGTCACGAGTCAGAAGTCTTCAACGAATATTTTACCAGCCTCCAAACTTCCAGGTAAGCTACATCGCGAAAAATGCGTGGTTCTCAGTTTTACGTGTTTGGTTGTTGTAGCTTGGCATGAATGATTGGTTCTTAGGAAGTTACAACATAAAACAAGCTTCGGAAGAGAGCAGACACATAGAAAAAGTGTTTTCCTGTTTTTTTTTCTATTTTTACTTTTTCTCTAATATAAAAAGCTCCCCCTGCATGTTTTTTTTTTATTACCACATATTGTATGCTATGTTCCCACAAATATTTCTACCCTCGCATGCGAAGGTGAAAGAGTGAAAGGCAACCTATTTAGCGCTTGTGGACAGCTTCGCAAAACTATTGCGGTATGGTCTCTCTCCTAAGGTGATCTGGCTAGCTTAGCGAAAACTCATAACGATTCGCCATCTCGTTTAGTGAGTGTATCTGAGCTATGCACTAATACACTGAGCAGCGAGCACAAGTGTGCAATCAGACAACGCTTCTCGTGTCTGCTGATCCGGCGCAGCAGTTCGGCCGCAGTTTTGTAGGTGGCGCTGTCACGACGTTCGTGGCCGCTCCGTGGGGTGACACAATCGCGGCGCGGAAAGAAGCCAGATTTCCCCTCCTGTCTATTCTCCCTCCGTGGCCTGGCGAGACGTGAAGACAGACACAGTGGTCAACTGCTTCTGCAAGGCAGGTTTCGAGACGGCGGAACTTGCGGAAACCGGTGAAGATGATGACAGGAAGTGCATAGACTACGAGTTCCATGAGTTGTCGTCCCACCTCCCGGCAGCAGTTCCACACGAAGTGTCCGTGGAAGACTTCGTGGAGGCGGACTGCAATGTTCAATCTGACAGATCATGTGAGGAGGAGGATCGTCCGGACAAGGTGCTGGATATAAGCGCGTACTCTGCTGCTGAAGTGGCAGCAGCATTCGGCATCATTTGCTGTTGTATCGGCCACATGAAGGGAACCGAGCTGTCACACCTGGACCACCTTGATGAAATCGAGTCTTGTGTCTTCAACATTAAAAAAAAAAAAAAAAAAAAAACGAAGAAGCACGCCAAGATTAGCGATTTTTTTCACGCAAATAAATCATTCTGTTGCGACGTGTGTGTGTGGAATTAGTTGTAGTTCTTGAATGCGCCTATTGTAGGTGATGAACGGCTACAGGTAAGCTCTCAGGGCCTCTATTTTTTATATTAAATTTTTCATATATTGAACTAATTCACGATCCCCTTCGAGTTCGATATATCCGTGTTCGACTGTATAAAGTATGGTGTATTCAAAAACTTACTTTCTGTTCTTTCAAATAACAGCAAGTACTATCATCAAATGTAAAGCATGGCAGGTTGGATGTTAACCCTCTTAAGGTAAAAAGATGTGTTTGTTGCTTTACTAGAATCTATGGTAAGTAAATGAATAACACGATGAATCTCAATTGGCAAAAGAATGCATTCACTGCTATAATCATCTGAATACATATCAGAAGACAACAAGTGACATAGAAGAAGTATTAGTTATGCCAAATCTCCATTTGGATGGGCAAAGGCTTTCGTCAAATGCAACAGAAAGCACACAAGGGAAGCAATGGACAATTTACTGTACAAGTACCACATACCAAAGGAGCTATTGTGGGTGTGTTGCTGCCGCTCAGGAAAAGCAGGTACAACTGTTGGTGTGACACTGCCATAGGGCGTGGACGGTGCAGGAGAGACAGGTGGCACATAGGTGATCACATGGTTGGAAGAGCTCTTGTCTGGCAGGTTCACACGAGAAATACACTTGTCACTTGTGCCATTGCCCTAGTAATGACAGAATGAAGAAAAAAAGGAGTGAATGCTCAATGGTATCTTGAGATCCACAGAGCTTGATGTTGCTATGTTGAGTAATAAAAAAAGATAGAGAGAGAGGATACAAGAAAGAGGTTCTGTAACATCCCTTCTTCATCCTTTCCAACAATATGAACTTTTATGGCCTACCACTGTCTTCAAGGTGCCATCATGAAAGTTAAAAGAACCCTGGATCATGAAAACAATTGGCAAAAACAACAAAACAAGGAGAAAGGAAACACTACAGATGGTTGTAACAACTAACAACTGGCCTAGAATCACAGGCTTACACATGCTGTGCCACGTCTGATCTCTAATGTTCCAAAGGCAACAAAGAAGTGGTCAGTGGGCTAAAAACATAATACAGTAAAACCCCATTAATTTGAAGTCACTGGGGCCGTGAAAAAGCTTCAATTCAAGCGAGTTTTCGAATTAACAGAACATACAACAAGTGGGATGCATGAAACTTAGAGTTATTCCAAGTAATCAGTGCTCGTTGTTTGCTGTGCCGGCTAGCTTGCAGCATGAAGGTCATGTTTTCGAACAATACCTGGTCTTCATTTTGCCGCGAACATGAGAAATGGTGTGCCTCACTGCTGCCACCGAAACAGAAAACAACAAAAAATGCGGACGTGACTGACTGATATGTGTGCCTGCAGAAAACAAGACATCTTCACTGCAATACAGTAATGACATGTGGGCAGCATGTCACCTGCTCCTCACTCCGTCAGCACGTCATGATGAGACCATTCGCACATTCTTTCTATTATAATTATGAATTCATTAATGGCCAATATGACGAAGCTCACAATGTGTTTTGGCTGGAAAAAATGATCTTTGAAACTTTCTAACTTCGTTTTCAAAGTAGGTGTTGCTAGCAAGAACTCTACCAGCAGTGCAAAGAGGCGAATTGTTGGAGTAACCGGCAATCGGAGGTTCACATACATCGCGATTTCCGCTAAACTGTCCCTTTATTAATTTCTTTACAATCCCAGAAAGAATGGGTAAACTATGACCCGCTGACGCTGCGAGAAACATGCAATAAGCTGCCTGCGTGTCACCACTGTGTTGCAGTGAAGCACAGCTCGTTTTCCGCAAGCGCACATTTTGGTTGACCACGAGACCGTTTTTTTTTTCTTCTTTCTTTTTTTTTTTTGCTCTGGAAGTAGCGAGGCTGGAGTGCGTCAGCTGCCACTCGTTAGCATCGATACGTTGCATTGCCTCGTAGCTATTAATAGCCGTCGTTCCGCAGATTCGCGGCGAAATCGGGATCTGAAACGCACATGGCACCCAAAAGTTTTCGAATTAACTGGACTGGTGCTGGCCGCCGCTTCAAAATATCCACTCAAACTTACATTGCAAAACACGGGACCACGGAAATCCTTTGAATCAAGCGGGATTTCAAAATAACTGAGTCCAAATTAATGAGGTTTTACTGTATAAGCAGTTAGTGACTTTGCAGCCATAGTGGGTACCAAAACTTAGTTTCGATACAATCCAGAAAGAATTGGAAGGGGAAGATGTCATGGGACATATTGTGGGTTGTTGAGATGCGTTGCTTGCAGGAACAAAGGCTGCTCACTATCACTGAAATTACCTAAAACATACTCGCTCAAGTTATTGTACATGTGCCCATTCAGGAGCAAAGCGGGTACAAAGAACACTCACACAACACATGTATATGGTTAAGTCACTGCCCCAGCAATAATGACCTGAGCTTAGTACGTGGCGTGCTGCACAAAACTCACTAGAGACCATCCAATCCTCATGGGCAGCAAATTTCATCTTTCGATGAAGCTCTGGAGGATTTCATTCAGTCGCATATCACTGTTTGAACATGTGCTCCCCCATTGAGAAAACTTGAACAAGTCGCCCCATCCGCTGCCACAGCCACACTGTGTTCAGTGTCATAGTTTTGTTATTCTTCTCTTGGAATCGAAACCATGTGTTTTCACATGGTCATGCAAGAAAGCCATAATTTTTTCCTCTCCATGGTAAAATGGAAGAAATCTGCAGTGGGCACAAGAGGCAACATTTACTATATGAAATCACATTAAATTTTTCGTGGGTATTGGCACCGTTAGAGTGCAGTTGTTAGAGGCATTCTCTGCAGGTGCCGTGTGTATTCATGAGGGTTTACTGAACAACCATTTAGATGCCTGATAACACTGAATTGACCGAGTTCATATTAACAAGCTTCCACTGTACATTATTTCTGGGAAGGTGTCGTAGGAACTGAAGCTATTTGTAGGAAAATGTGGGCCACCGCAGCGTGGGGGAAGTATAATTGAGGTTCCATTGTGTTTCGATGAGCTTGACATGTCATGTTTTTGGGGGGCACTTCAGATAACATGCACAGGTCTTTGTGGACCCTCTACATTTTTCTTCAAAGGCAATTCAATGTATATAATTCAGTGTATTGATTAAGTAGGCATTTTTTTTCTTATAACCTTCATAATTCAACCTTCAGTTGATGTGAAAATTTTTTCAAGGCTGATTAATTGAAAATTAACAAGGTTCTACTGTGCAGCCACTGTGAAATATGAGTACGCTTTCAGTAAACAAAAATCTGCTTAAAGGAACTACTGCTTAAATGGAACAACTGCCTCTAATATGATTGGTTTCGTACCTGTATTCTGCACCCTTGTTCATCTCTTAGTAAACGAAAGTCCTGTCAATTCAAAACATGTTTTTTTGGTTCCTTCAGATTCCATTTAATGAGCCTTCAAGACTGCATTGGTAGGTGCCAAGAACTAATGGCTCCCAGTCGAACTTGTTAGTTAAATGAGCCCATGAAGAAAGCAAACAACCAACAACAAACAACAGAAAGCTGAAAATGCCCACCTTTGAGTCCGGACCTGAAGATACAGTCAGACTGATGGGTGATGTGGTCCCATCATCCCTCTCCACCAGCATTGGGCTATTTCCTGGTCGCACGACCACCACCCCTGATGCTGCTGCAGCTGGTGACTGCTGGACAGCCTGGGCACCACTGTCATCATCCTCGTCGTCATCCGAGAGCTCACCCTCCCAGGACATGGGCCGCTCTCGCTCCTCCGTGTTGTCCCCCCATGTGACCCCCGGCTGGCTGGCCCCATTCACCCGCTGCTTCTTGGGTCGCAGGTGCACCGCCAACCCTTCACCAGTCACCTGCACGTACCATTATACCCACAAAACTATGAAGTCAGTTTCAAGGAACTTATTTTCTACCGCTACATAGAATCAGTACCTGTGGCATCCTGTCACTGGTTAAGAAATACTAAAGCAAACCTGTATCAAGATTATGGCCCCTGGCGAAAGACCTCGGGCAAACAAAATATTTCTGAGCCTTTCGCTACATTTTCTTTCACTTCCTCAGTGTACTTAGAAGCATTTAACCCAATTAATCATCTATTTATATATAGGTTTAATAATAAAAAAAAAAGGCAGGAGTGTCACGGTTTAAAATGCCAAGTGACGCCCAGGAACAACTACATGGGGGCAGCAGGTGCTATCAGGTATTTTCATTGTAGTTTAGTAAAATGATACAGAGCAACAGAATTGATGTTGTTTCATAAGAGTTGAAAGCACAATTGAAAGTCCTGTGATCATTACAGAATACATTCTGAGCGCAGCTATCACAAAGTTTTCAGAGTGAAAGGTAACAGAGAACAAATCGTCAGCTAGCACTGCTAATTGAAAAAATGTCGTGCTGTTTCTCTCACTCACTCACAAATATGAATACAGTATAACCTCGTTACCGCGGATCTGCTTACAACAGACATTCAAATACTACCTACCAATTAGCGGCGTGTTACTGACCTCCCTCTTTGTTCCATTGGTTAAACTTCATTTAAAACATATTCTGGTATAGCGCACAATCGGGTATAAATGGCTAAAATGTGAGGCATGCAATGTTGTCAGGGCTCCTTTATTGTGGATTTTTCTACCACGAACAGCCCAAATTCAATAACGTCCAACTTGAGACACTGGCATTTGCCATATTTTCAAGACGTGAACAGTGCACCACAGATATTGACGTACGAATTTGAGAACGAAGGCTGCCGATCTCCAGTCTGATCAGTTATGCCTAGCTAAGGTGACAAAAAACAGCACACAGCGAGCTTGATGTTGCGTTTTGAAGCAACACTGTTACTAGCAGTCGCTGCATGGCGAGCTTTGTCGAGGGTCTGCTGCCAATGCCCAGAATGCCCACCCGCGATTCTGACAAGCCAGCAAGCGATTGTGATTCGTTGCTTATATGCGCGCATCCGTGATGGAAGCATGGATACGTGCACATAAACGTTCCGTAGTAGCAAAACTAACTTCCTAAAAAACACTTTTTTTTTTGCTACATCCACCGTAATTTTCACCACTTAGGCAGGCGCAAAAACTTATTACCGAAGATATTTTAGAACCAGATACAAAAATGGCTACAAAAACTGAAAATATGATATTCAAAAAAGTTTTTTTATGCCCCCATTGAGAATGAATCCGTTTAACTGGTAATTCTCTGGGGCTAAAACAGACCTATTCAATGTTTACATAATATTCGGTTATACCAGTACTTCGATTTTACATACTCATTTTACAACAGACCAATATCATATTTACTATGGAGGTTTATTGTAACGAGCTAATACCGTAATATTAAATTCGAAGCACTTCTGGTACCACTTTTCCGAATCCATGCGGAGCAAGTCTGTGTTTCACTGGCAGATTAAGAGCAGCTCCGCCGCCAAATCCACTCCAACGAGCAGCTCTCTCAACTCTGTCAAAAGTGGTGGATTTCGCCGCAAGTCGCTAATGTCCTAAATATGTGCAAAGCATGGAGTACTTGACTGATGCGACACACTGCCCGAGCACTCGTACTCTCCGCACGCACCCATGAAGACAAAACGCGAACAATGCTTGATGCTTCTAAAAGTAGATGCGCAAGTGCACACTGTCTTTTCTCTGGCTGGAGTGCTTGTGTTCCATTGGCAGATTTCCTTAGCGAATCTTTATTCTCTTGCCCTCCAATGAAGTGAAGTACTATGGTGTCGAGTTCACCGGTCACTCCAAATCATCCATTGGAATTCACCATAAATAAATCCTTTTCACTTCTCCTTTTCCTCAAGTGTGAAAGAGGAAGATATCCAGAATTCCAGAAGGGGAGACATAGAGTTGTAAGGTAGAGTCCCTTCTTGCAGCAAGCAAGATGGGCTCCAGCAACCTAGGGCCACTACAAGTATTTGCATAGCACAGACGTTCATACGGTACTTATATGGTCCCTGCCACAGCTAAATAGTGACCATCAAATGGCTTCACTATAAGGAGTCTATTGCCTTACGAATTGACCATCACAAAAATTTTTAAAATAGGTCAAGTATGAGCAGAGTTACAGAGTTTTTCCACACGGTGTAATTGATTCACCTATGAACAAGCTGGAAGCCAAAAAGGGCGGGAAAAGACGGGAAATAAATTGGGTCATGCGCAAGTTATGACGTGGAGCACACTTTTTTTTTTCCTTCTGTGGCAGCCTACCACAGTCGCCGTAGTAACTGTGCAGACCACGATACTCAGATCAGCCAATGGCTATGAACTTGAGTATTAGGCATCATTTTTAGACAGAAAAAGAAACGATAAATAGCAGACTTTAAAAAGTAATTGCAGACTTCATGCCGCATGTTTCCCTATAATATTTGGCTTGCGTGTTTTTCAGGAGCCTGATTGATATGTGGGGTTTGATGTCGCAAAACCACCATATGATTATGAGAGACGCCGTAGTGGAGGGCTCCGGAAATTTCGACCACATGGGGTTCTTTAACGTGCATTCATATCTGAGCACACGGGCCTACAACATTTCCGCCTCCATCGGAAATGCAGCCGCCGCAGCCGGGATTCGATCCCGCAACCTGCGGGTCAACAGCCGAGTACCTTAGCCACTAGACCACCGCGGCAGGGCGTTTTTCAGGAGCCTCTAGTACTGATTGGCAGCATTTTTCTGACGATGCTGAAAAATGTGTTGCAGGGCCCCTTTTATATTTTTTTGTCACAGTGTATACACTGGTCTTTTAAACAATGTACACTGCCAACGGTACCACGGTTCTGGTCTAAAGAGCACGAAGTCACGAATAATATTTCCAGCCATGAAAATCGAGAGTAATAAAAAGAAACAGATCCGCGTTACCATGTGTCAAGTTGACGTTAAGATCGTTAATGCGATCGTTCTTTGTGCACCGTAGAGACACCGTCAACCAGTGTTGCGGAGTTGCCACTCCGGAATTGGAATTATTCTCGAATCACTGCACATTTTCACGACCCCGGAATAGAATGGGAATGGAGACAATGCTTGGAGGAATTGAGTGGGAATGAAATTAAAGGGACATTAAAGCCATGATGTTGATTGTTGAAATGGCAGTCCAGAAACCTCGTAGTGTTACTTTCGTGCCAAGGAATGGCCTATTTTTAAATAAAATCACGTTTTAGTGCTCCGCATCGAGCTAGCGCACTTCAAATTACCCGCCTCAAGAAGCGGACCAACTGCGCGGACCGTCTCACGTCACTGTTGCCGTGCACAACGCAGCCCGGTTTTACTGCGCTAGCAGCAGCAGACCGAAAGCAGCGGGAGCCACAGCAGCAACAACGGCCATTGATCAATCTCTCGCCATTGGCTTCCGAGATTGCAGACACCTTTGTTTCAACTGCACCCTGCTAGATGACACCACCTGTCCCATGTAACCATGCGAAAATTGAATTTTTGAACCACTCACGCCATTCCCCATAGTAACGTCTGGCGGTTCTTTTTTTTTTTTTTCATGAATCAAACAGAAACGAACAAGCAGCATTTTATTGTGTCTCTTGATGCATGGAAGGTTCTTTATTTAGTGCAGTTAGATTGATTACTAGCGATTAATTGTAGGCAGTCCATATGATGTCATCGGATCATTTTGAAAATGTCCTACTGTAGCGCTTGTGTTCTTGTGCATTTCCCTTAATTTCTCAGTAAGTGCTCACTGTTGTTGATAATATTGTCGTTTTAGATGTTGTCATACATTGAGCTTTCACTCTGGCACAAATTGTTATTTGACTTTGTGTCCCTTTAATCACATTTTGCCCGGAATGAAATGAAGTTATGTCTTTTATCGAAAATAGAGCAAATTTGTCTATATTTTCCGCGTCACCGAGATCAAGCGAAACTACAGCGGCAGCTACCCCCCCCTCCCCTTTACACCCTGGGTTTTTCTTTCTTTTTTTTTTTTTTTTCCCTCAGCGGCACCCCAGCTACAGTCCTCAGCCGTCTACTGTCTTCACACCCTTCATATGTCATTGTGCTAGCTTCTGTCACCGTCGGCCAACTCGATACATACGTCGATACCGGACTCGCCACCTGTTAGAAAAAAACGCTTCTCTAAGTTGTGATGTGTATTAACGATGGTGCGATGCTTTTGTTCGCAGCAATCTCACCTCATCATCATCATCAGCCTGACTACGTCCACTGCTGGACAAAGGCCTCTCCCATGTTCCGCCAGTCGACTCGATCTTGTGCTTGTTGCTGCCATTTTATGCCTACAAACTTTTTAATCTCATCTGCCCATCTAACTTTCTGTCTCCCCCAAACCCACTTGCCTCCTCTGGGAATCCAGTTAGTTACACTTCATGACCAGCGGTTATCCTGTTTACGTGTTACTTGCCCGGCCCATGTCCATTTCCTTTTTCTTGATTTCACCTATAATATACTTGACCCCGGTTTGTTCCCTGATCCACTCTGCTCTCTTCTTGTCACTAAAGGTTACACTTACCATTTTCATTTCCATTGCTCGCTGCATGGTCCTCAATTTGAGCTGAACCCTCTTTTGTAAGTCTCCAGGCTTCTGCTCCGTAGCTAAGTACCGGCAAGATGCAGCTGTTATATACTTTCCTCTGGAGCGATAGTGGCAATCTGCCTGTCCAGATTTGAGAGTGCTTGCCAAATGTGCTCCACCTCATTCTTATTCTTCTAGTTACCTCAATCTCGTGGCTTAGCTCCGCAGTTATTACTTGTCCTAAGTAGACATAGTCTTTGACAACTTTTAATGCACTATTACCTATCTCGAAGCGCTGATCTGTTCTGAGGTTATTGTACATTACTTTGAAGCACTGTACTCTTCCGAGGTTGTTGTACATTACTTTCGTTTTCTGCAGATTAA